CCTTTTCTGTCTTTTTTTTTTCCCCCCACTATTCTCTCCCCCATCCCACTGTGGGGGCAGTCAGCGAACGGCTGTATGGTGTTTGGCTGCCTGCTGGGTTAAATCAGAACAGGCTGGAAGGTCTCCTCTTCGAGGAGAGATCAAATGTGTAGGTTTTCTAAGCAGTTGACAGAAGTAGACCTCCACAACTGAAAGATTGGGACTGTCCACATGACAAATTAAAATGCCTCCAGAGGAGGTGAATCTGGATGTTACTGTTCTGGCCTCAAAACAGTGGAGCATGCAAAGAAACTGGAAGGCAGCTTATTTAAAATGTGTGACACATTACCTTTTCCATGATTTGCCCACTGAACTCATCCCTGTAAAATTTTATTCAAAGCTAGAAGATTCCCAGGACTAACAATAGCTGGGATAGCTGTCTGAATGAAAAGGACAGTATCTTAGGCTGGAAGACATTTCGGAGGAGGTAGGGATGAGGAAGTGCCGGGGAAGTTAATTGTGTGTGTAGGTGTTTGCAGGCTTCAAGTCTCTCCTGTGCATCAGTGCCTAAGTTAATACACCACGGCGGGGACTGAGCTGCCTGCTCAGCCTGTTTTTTGGATGTGCCTCCCCTCACTGCCCCTTTCCAACTCTGGACTGGGCCCACCCTTTTCTGTTTTGGCTTGGCCATTTTCCTCAATCAGACCTCAGCCTGAACAGTTTTGGAAACAGCATCAGTCATGGCGCTATCCCTGGGGAGATGGGAAATCCTTTCCACACCTGATGGATGTCCTGCCTGGCTTAATTTCACCACATCAGGAACTAGAGGCCACCTGTCTCTGCCCACCCTCCAGCTGATGTTGAGGAGATCTATTTTGTTCTAGTGCTTATTCCTTTGCATATTGCCGCGTGTGAATCTGGCAGCAGCGTCTGTGCACACCGTAACCCTTTGCACGGTGCCAGGCTTGGGAGGGGCAGCACAGGCAGTCTGTTACTTCAGTCCCTTTTCAGTCTGTGATCTAAAATGCAATACTCCTATCTGCAACTACCCTAGCTTGCTGGCTTCTCCTTAGAATATGAAAATTATAATAGTTTTCCTTTTAGCTTTTAGTTTTTAATACCTTTTGAAAACCTATGGTGGCCTTTTGGAAGATTTAAGTTATTTCAAAGGAAACCACCTATGAGCCCTCAGGGCAGTTTGGCCACTATCCTGTCCCAGACAGTGGTCACTGACATGGTGAGGCAAAGGGCTAGAAGGAACCTATCAGGAGTACTTGCCTTGGTGTACATTCATGGCATCTGTCCATCTGCAGCCATCGTAGGGCTGGTGAGGACACTTGGTGCCATGGGAGGTTCCTGCTAGCTTACGGGACTTGGTTTTGGGACTGTGAAATCTGTATGATGACCCTGGAATGCGCAGAGGGACGGCACACTTCGTGGGCTCAGTTACCGTGTCTGTGAGTGACTGCTCTGTGGTGCTGCTGTGAACAGCTAACCAGGTTAGTACTCGCCCCAGAGTGGGATGTGCGTCAGTTTGAAGATGCTGATTCCTCATCAGCTGATTCCCTCTACGTTTGACACGGCTTTTCTCAAAATGCACCGGGTCCTGTGGGATGAAGTTGGTTCTGTAGAAGTGGAAACGATGATTATCATGTTGTTGTATTTATTCAGAGAGGATGTGCAGCAGTTGTCAGATAGCACTACATACCTAATTGGGAATTCAGCTTCCAGCTGGTAGATTGAGACTGAAAGGCATAGCTGTGGGATAGGGACGGGCAGGCACAAATTGCTGAGGCTCTTAATCTTTTACAATATGTTTGTTTAATACAAAGTGGTCTGCTGAGATTGTTTTGCAGTGTAGAGTAATCATTGTGTGCTGACTAATGGGAGATAGCAAGCTGTTAAAGAGCATCAATTAACCATAGAGGAGGAGGTTATTGAGTATTTCACAAGCATTCAGGATGTGAAGAGTAAAGAATTTACTTGAAGGCAACCTCAGAGATTTTTAGCTATAGAAATCTACAAACAGCAACAAGAGTATTTGCGGACATACGTATGGTTGCAGAGCTTACCCGGAAGAACAGTGCAAAAAAGAACTCGAGTTAGCATTCCAACTCTAGATTGTGCTGATACAGCATAAATAGAGCTTTGCTAAACGTGTTCTCTTATTTCATATTCATTATTTTGGAAATTTCTCCTGTTAAATTTATCTAATGCTGTCACAGGAAATATTGGTCCTCTTTCCAGAAGATAACATCTGCAGTGCCCTTCTGATACTCAGGTGTCAGAATTTGTTATACTTCTGCTTCCCTGACTGCCTAACTGTAAGGCTGTTGTCTTTACATCTGCTCCTGCCTCAGTATAGTAATTCCTATTCCTGCTTGCTATGAGTTAGAACTCAATGCACTTAGTGCTGAGAGGAGCATGCTCTTCCATCATGTGCCTTGCAAAATGGATAATAAAATTCTCCAATTTTAGCTGGTCGAGAGTATGAAAACCTATGTTTCATTAGGAATGCTTTTATACAGCCCTACTAGTATTCTGCCTGAGTTTAATGCAAAAAATAAATAACATTTTGTGGGCTCTGTTTGCCGAGTGATTTTGTTCTTTGTAAGTAATGGGAAATTTTTCCCATCCTGGATTCCATTGTTGAATCCATTTTGTGCAAACATCATTTTCCATTTATTCATTGGCAGTGAGGAGACCAGATAACATTGAATTTATTGTTTCAGTTTTGTTTCTTCTAAAGTGATGTTAGAGAACTGGACCTCAGATACTCTTTTAGCCAACAGCAAGAGATGTCCTGGGATTCCTTGGGGATTATGATGAAGAAGGACCCTTGGTTCTTGGACCAAGGGCAAAGATAGACTTCTCTTGACTTCAACCCTCTATTCAAATGCCTTAATTAACAGAGGTCTCCTTTAACAGGTGGTTCTGCATCAATAAAGCCTTTAACATGTTAGGAAAAAGTCAGAGAAATTTACTCCTTTTCTGATTTGATTGATTTTCTTAATCTTTTTTGAGCGGGGACAGGGGAGGGAGAATAACGCATCAGGAGACTATGGAGAGGATTAATTACTTGCCTGCAAAACTCATGAAGATACTCTGATGAAAGACATGGGCTAAGTGAGTGAAGCCCTGGTAGAGTTGGTGTCAGTGGCGAAATTTAACTGTAACTGCAGCCCTTATGCCTGCAGTGTTTTGCACCATAAGAGAACATAACCTGATCCCCTCTATGTCATAAGCTTCTGAATTTGTTTCAGTAGTGAAACCCTCCCTACTGATCTACGGAAGAAACATTTTTTTTCCTCCAGATACGGCAGCTGGTTTGATGCTGAGCAGCTGTAGCTTGACAGTGGCAAAGGTGGGGGGGGCTTAGGACTCTTGTCCTTGCAGCTGGTGCTGCTTTGAGTTCTGACTGATCTCTGGTGCTTCAGAGAGATGCCAAAATATCCCTGACTTTACAGGGAACTTTTCAAAACCTTAGTATGTGAGATACCAGTAACTTAATGCAGATCTGCAGATTTAAAACCCCAAGGAGTTGTTCAGCTTCACCCGTGGGCAGGGAAGGGAGGCGTTGCAGAGCAGTTTCAAGGCTGGAAGGGGGTATCATTAGCACTGAGCTTGACCTGAGCTGATCTTTGGCCAAAGGATTCATTGCAGGAGCTGCAATGAAGCATTTCATGGTTCATTATCCTCACAATAGGAAACAATGTCGTACTCTGACGCTGAATATCTAACTCAAATTTTCATCCATTTGATCTTCTTACAGCTTTGTCAGCAAAGTCTAGTCTGTCACCACTTTTCCACCTTCTAGGATCTAAACCAAATTATATATCTGTGTCCATGAATGGAATAGTTTGAGCTCTTGAAGTTTCATACTATACGGCTTGTTTCTCGGCTGTGACCTGCCTTTGAATCCTACTCTCTGTTTCCCTGTGGTTTTTTTTTTTGAAGCATGAACTGCAGAACTGCACACAAGTTCCAGGAGAGCTCTGGGATTTGTGCAGGTTGCAGAGGCTGCATCGCTTTTCTGAAACTTTGCTGGTTTTTGGCTGAGTTGATCTGGCAGCTTGTTGCTGTAGCAGAAGCAGAAAAATGCTGTAGGACCAAGAACTGTTTCCGTGAAGGCTGTGGCAGGGTACCTCTTCTTATGGTTGTTTCCCCACTGACAACTACATTTTGAGATGAGTCACTAAATTCATGTTTAATTCACTAGTAAAATTGGCAAGGCAATTACCATTTTGCAAGTTCTTCAAATCAAATTGTTAGAGAACATTAAATCAAATGCTTTGGAGAAATCCCAGTATATACAATTGCTTTTATCATCCAGACTGTGATTCTGTCACAAGAAAACCTTTGTTTTATTGGGCCTATCGTCAGTGAAAGTGTGCTGCCTGGTGTTCATTTTGGTCTTAGCCTCTACTTTTTTGTCTCTGCTCCATTATTTTCCTTTTCCTATTTGTTATTCCATAATGAGAATTGAGAATTGAGGAATTTCTACCTTACAGTTGTCATCCCTACTTTTTAGCATTGCCAAGTACAGAAAGCATTTGCAAATGGAATGAATACGGAATTAATACTGTTAGTCATGAGGCAATTAATCAGTTAGGACAACGTGGTGGCTTAAAGCACGACAGTGATGAAGGTCACTCTGCTGAGTCTCCCCTTTTTGCTCCTTGTGTTTTGCTCTGAAGTCAAACCACCTGCTCCTCGGTGAGAGGGAAGCATGCATTGTGTGTTAGTCATCAGTGGAGGGGCTGGTAGGCTGTGAATCTGCAAACAAATTACTACAGGCAGCTTTTTGGTCACCTGAGCTGCTACCTGATAGAAAGCACGGGGTAGCTTAATTTAGTTTTCACTGCCACGTGCTTAGGTCTACCCTCACAGTTGGCTCTCTTCTCTTTGGTACATCCTAGTCCAAACATGACATTTTGTGTTGTTTCCTGGCATGAGGATTTTTTCACAGACATCTACCAAACTCTTGGGTTTTTTTCCCTTTTTTTGTCTTTTCTCTACAGGTAAAAACAAGAGAGGAACAACTACAGGCAGAGGGTTTCTCCACCACTGCTAGAAAGATACAGGAAGATGTTGAACTAAAACTGCTAGATCTTACACACCTTTGTGCCTCCCTCCAAAAAAAAATGCACGGTTCGTGCAGACTGGTTTTTAGAAGCAAACATCCTGCCAGCAAAATGGGCTTCGGTAGGTCTGCGTCCAAGGAGGCTGTTTCAGCTGTCAGTGCTACAGAGGTGATCAGAGAACTGCAGATGAGAGAGGCCAGCCTGGAGAGAGAGCTGAAGCAGCTGCAGGAAGAGTGCAGGCAGAGGCTGGATGAAATTGCGGCAGGGTTGGATGGAGTGATTTGTGTCTCCCCTTGAAGAGATAAAGCTGGCCTGAGAAGAGCAAAGGAATGTCTAGACTGACTCGATCAGAACACATTGTGCAGCTTGGCATGGGGGAGCGCGAGGTGAGGAACCAAACGTAATTTCTAATTTTTAATCCTGGGAATCATGACTTGTTACTGCTTTGTGGCTTGCACTGGGGCCGTAATCTTGCTGGTTCGCTCTGCAGCCCCTTTACTGCTAACCTGGCCAATTAAATTCTGCAGCAGGCCTTGGTGGGAGTGTGTGTAAATCTCCCTTTTATCTTTCAAATTTCTAGTTCTTCTGCCAAGCACTGGGCTCTTTTACAGTGCTCAGCTGCTAGGCATGGCATACTTTGAGGCTGCATGTTGAAGTACTAATTGCATTCAATATTTTCAAGCAAATGGAAGTTCGTTAGTCAGAAAAAATCCAGGTATTGGAGAACATGGAAAGTACCAAGGCTTAGATCTGAGTGGAAATGTTCAAGACAGTGTGCTGTTTTAATTTGCATATTTGTGGCAGCTATAATGCAGTCACCATAAGGAAAAACAAATGCCTAATAATAAATAAAGCAGCACACTGATTTCATTTACTGGTGTGATGCACTTGAAGTAATTGGGTTCTCAAAGAGAACAAACTAGAAACCCATTCCACCGAGTTATGAGTCACAGTGAGATAACTTATGGATCTGCTATAGGAAATTTCTGTAAAATAGAAATATGACCTTAAGTTCCAAGCTTGAGGACTCTCCAGGCTCTGTCTCTGCAGGCTTCTTCCCCATGAACATGCAAATGTTTTTCACTTGGCATTCATTTCCTACCCTTTTCTGTTTTGCTTTCACCAAGGATTATTTTTATATTCTAGTTGTACACTTTCAGGAATAAATAAATTTAAAAAAAAAACAGGTTGTTTTTCATTTGTGAATTGCTATGAGCTTTCCTCAGTCTGTCTACTAAATTCCTCAGGATTTCTGTCTACTACCCCAGCTTGACGGTGTCACTGATTACCAGCTGCTCTTGGCTCACTGAGCCGCCAAACGTGAGGAACCTTTAAGGACCTCTTTGCAGGCATCGGTACGGTCGCTGCTCTGCAGGGAGACAGTGTGCAGGTGGGAGTGGGCGGACAAGATTCAGGTCTCCTGGTTTCTGCTGCACCAAGTGAACTTCTTATGCTCATCTGCACCACCCGTACTGGCGCTCATGCAGTTTGTGCAGGAGCCAGTGGCAGTGCAAACATCAGTGGAGAGCCACAGGTGGAGGGCTGGTTTGCCCTGGTTTCACCCAGTTGAATGCAGCGTTGCTGGTAGACCAGGAGTATACAAGCTCATTTAATATGGGCCAAGTTTCAGACAGCCTTTCCTCTGCGTGGACCCAGTGGCTTCTCTAAGGACCAAGCTTGAGCAAGGCTGGTGGGAAGTGCAATTCTCAGGCAGAGACCTCAACTCCAGGCAGCCCTACACAGATGGGACAGCCCCTGGGAGAAGGGTGTTCGCGTGTGTTGATTGAGGCTGTCGGTCCCAACCAGCGTGCCGGCTGTCAGCTGGCACCAGGGTTGACACATAGTCCTGGACCAGAAAACCCCAGTGGGTTAGAGAGATCCATCTGTGGGGCAGGTGGCCCCGGGCTGCTGCTCCTGGAAGAGTAGCCCTGGCCTTAAAAAGCCAATCCACATTGTTCTGCTTTTCAAACCATCTCAGTAAGTGCAGAGTAGCAAGCACTGAAGTGTTTCAGGCTGGTGCAACCTGGGGAGGGTGTTGGCTCCAGGGCTACTGAAATTGAGTGCACAGGGGGACTTACTCAGACACAGCTTTCACAGAAAATTATTCATGAATGGGAAAGAAACAGTATATCCTAGAACTAATGAGAGTAGCAGCACCAGTCTGTCTCTGAGGGTTTTATATACTCCTTCAGCTTTTATACAAGGGACTTTTCATACTGCATTGCATTTAGGTTTAAAACATTGCCCTCAAAAGATCCTTTGTTCTCCTGAGATTTTCCACAAAGAAGAACAGGCAAATATTCTTGAGCATGGTGAGAACACTCCGATTCAAGTGCAGGTCTAGCTCATGCCTTGCTGTGGCTTATCAGGGTTGGCTTAATGCTGAATGCCACGATGTATTATGCTGCCATCCGCTTAAACTGGCAGTAGCCACTGATGGGATGACTTATTTCCTAGTACCAAATATTTGTCAGCATGCAGCGCTTAGCGCAGTGTGCTTCAATGTTCATCCAAGGATCCTGTTTCAGCAGAGACCATGACTGGCAGCACCCTTCCTCTGCTTGACCCTGAAGAATTACTTTTCTGTCCGCTGAAATATAAAAATGACATCTGTGTGTCAGAGACAGTGTGTGTCTGTGTGTGTGTGTGCGTGAAGTGTAAAAGTGCCTACAGTGAATGGCCGGCAGCTGCATTTACTGCACGGCACAAATCACCGTACCGAGGTGGGCCGTTCGGGGAGCTGTCAGGAGAGCCAGTGGGTTGGAGCTGGAGCTGCTTGTCCTGGTGTACGTCGAGAGGGGCTACAGCTGAAAGCTTAAAAGAAATCGCCTTTCCAGCCGCAGTGCCGCGCTGACGTTGCGTGCTTCAGACACCTCGTGCAAAGTACACAGGCAAGTATAGTTCATATTTTCTGGCACCGATTTCCTATTGCCTTTTGTTTCAGGTACCAATTAGCAGTTTAAACCAGAGCAGATATCCTTCGGTCCCCGTTGAAGGTGAGCAGGGCGTTTTGAGCTGGCAGTGGTTTTAAAACCAATACCCGCACCCCCCTCTTTGCCTTGCCCCCCTTCTCAGCACCAGCGCAGAGAACACAATGCAGGAGGTACTTTAAGGGCTTGGCACTCTCATGCACCGAATTTTGGAGGGTGATTTTCCTGTGAAGGCTGCCTTTTAAAAATCAAAGCACCTCCACAGGACTTGGATGCAAAGGGACTGAGCTGTGGTCATGCCTCGGTGCCTGGTCACAGCTTTTGATTGCTTTTGAGGCATACCGATGCGTCTGAAATACAGATGCTTTCTGGTCCTTGTGACCTTGGCGAGGCATCAGCTGTCTCTCCAGTACTGCTGGGAGATGCTGTATGATGGACGCCACTTAAAAGCTTAAGAAAATCATCCCTGGATTAACACAAGCTGCAGTGAGGGCAGGAAAGTGAACTGGGTAGCCACAGTCACACTTAATGTGATATAACAGAGGAACAAATAGGTGTTTTGTCACCTCACACCATTGCCATGGCATTTGAAGCGTTCTCCTTTCCTTGTTGAGGCCGGCTTCTCTCGCCCACCGTTACAGCCCACTGGTTTTAAAGGCTGCAATGACTTTCTTGGGTCACTGGGCTTGGCCCCGCATCAGCAGTCGAAGATGCTGTAGAAGGGGGAATGGCTGCTCTGGGAGACGTGTGGCAACCACATGAGTGGTTGGTCTCTGGCAGATGCCGCGACAGGCGGAAGATGACTCAAGCGATACATTTCATCCATGGGCTCAAGCATGCTCGGAAAATGTTAAGTATTACTTCACAGAAATTGGAGAGTGTTGTAAACAACCAGTACAGGCTGAAAAGCAAAGATACAAGCTGTGAAGCGGTTTGTCCTTTGCCATATCACCACGCTGGCTGTACATTTCCTTGTGAAAGCAGGAATCTGCCCTGAAATTGTTGATGGAGTTGAAGGGAGAAGGGTGGGTATCAGCTGGAGAAGTTGGCAGAGAGGATGTTGCACGTTGTGTGCCACTGGTTGCTAAACTCAAGTGGTGGGGGAAGGCTGGTGGTAAAGCTGCCCTAATGTCTGGACTAGGCAGCAGGGAGGGTTTTTTTTTGTTTTGTGGGGTGTTTTTTTTCAAGCAGCTACAGCAGTTCTCCCTGTTGGTCCATCCTAAAGGGACTTCGTTTCATTTGGGTTTGGATCCAGGGTTTCTGAGTGATCTCAGGAAGACAGGAGCGTATTAGAGGTGATGGTCCATGCTGGAAAAGCTGGAAACCAAGGTGAAATCAGCACCCTCCAGAGATGCTGCAGCTGGCTGTGCGGCACACCTGGCAAGGGCCAGGCAGGAAAGAGCTGTCCCAGATGTTCACCTGGAGATAGCTCACAGCAAAGCCTGTCCATAGGAAGCCCCGGTAGCAGCTAACCCTCCTCTTGCGGCGCTGGGAGCACGTGGCCTTTTGCTTCATGCTCTGGTAATGCTTCACCGAAGACAGGCTGGGTTACTGCTGCAGTGTTTAGACCACACTCTCTCTGGTGATGGATTGCTTCCGAGTGCAGCTTTAAGAGAAGCTTTAACAGGACTTCTGTGTGTGTAGTTTCTGGCAGGCTGGCACAGAGGTGTTTATAGAAGAGCACAGTTAACCCGTTTCTCTGATGTAACTGTGATGGCTTTCCAAACACCTCGCTAAGAAAAGGGAATTGGCCATAAATACTTGATTGGCTGATAACTCTGATAACTCGCACTGCGTAGCTAGAAACATTCCTCCCCAAATAACTGAGCATCAATCAGCTTGCAGTCAAAACAGGAGGTTTACTTTGCGAAAGCCAACGAAGCATCTGCAGTCACCGCTCCTGACAGCATTGTGCCTGCTGGTAAGTACGGGCTGCAACCTGTGTTCAAAACCAAGAGCTGCCGGCAGTGGTGCTTTCCAGCCTGGAGCGTTTCGGGTGCCTGGTGGGATTCCTCCACCAGCTGCTGCAGGATGAGCTGGTAGCAGCGGGCGCGCGCGGCAGCGTGCCGCGTGTTGGCTCCCTGGGAGTTAACGCGTGCCCGGCGGCCGCGCTGGCTC